AACGCTGTATACTTAAGGCTGAAGATTGGTTAAAAACTTATAGAGGCACGATGTCGAATGTCCAGATGCTACAAAACACAGCTCTGCAGCAACAAATTGCAACCAATTGGAACCAATAATTGAAACTGTATTGTTTTGTGGTCGGTAGGGTATACCACTTCGAGTCCATAGAGACCACGGGAAGCTTATTTTGAAAGTTTGTCCTGTTGAAAATGAGGGAAACTTCCGAACTCTTCTGAGATTCAGAGCTAATTCTGGAGAGAAGGATTTGAAAAGGCATTTAGAAATAGGATCGAAAAATGCACTTTACTTCTCACCAAAAACACAAAATGAAATTATTTATTCTATTAATGATATAATGCTGAAGAAATTGGTTGAGGTGGTAAATTCAGCGAAATGTTTTACTGTTCTTGCAGATGAAACGACAGACGTCTCAACCCAAGAACAAGCATCAATCGGCGTGAGATACATACATAATAATGGCATTAGAGAAGATTTCCTTCAGTTTGTACCTATTTCTGATTTAAAAATAAAAAGTTTTAGTGTTAGATAAAGAGTTGCTACTGTTATTTTTTTGTTGAACCCCAATTGTGTCATTGTAAATGCTTTTAATATAGGATACTAAACGCTTAGACAGTGGCAGAAAATATATCGTTCCAAATGCCGATAAAGCACTTTCTAGAGATGATGCTGTTCTATACATTTTAGAAGATATTTCTAAATATTATGAGACTCCTTTTACTGATGGTACTGTTAGCAAAATAAAAAGGGGAAAGCTGAAATTAAAGGATGAGGTAATACGATGTACATTTCCAAATCTTCCTTTATACTTGTATTACAACAATAAAAAATCTGTTAACTTGTGTTTTAGTTTGCTCCTAAAACTATATATAAGTTCAATGAACACCGTAAGTAGTAGCAGCGCCCATGCGGTTAATTATAAAATCTTAATTAGCGTGCGTTTTTTGGGACCGTATATGAGTATACCACATTTGGAGTATACCGATTCGCCTCCTTATCTCTAGTCTTCATACTTACGTCTCATGTTTATTCATTCTTCAAGTATATAATAAGCTTTTGATTTTATCTGGATTTGTGCATATTTATGTAAAGGTAAGTAGCTACTTGTATTTTACACAAAGAGTGGTTCAGATTACTTGATTTTGGATGTGAATTGAAAGTATTTATTTCTAAGATTATAACCTAAAATATATTTAGCAATAGTATGGAAAAGCCTCGCTGCCCTCGCTGCTTTACAAAGCGGTGTTGCCAGACTTGTAAAATATTCTTAATTTTTAAGAATATTGATATAAACAATCAAGATTTCTTTGTATCCGGTTAGAAATGTCATTGTCTGATATATCCAGTATTTGTGAGCCAAGTGAATTTGAGACTGATTCTGGATCTGACTTCCATCCATCATTAGATGTTGAGTCTTCCATGTCTGAGCAAAGCTTGGAAAAAAATTAAGTTGCTAGTTTAGAACCTACGTCAAGTAAGAGTAAAAAGAGATAACAGAATAAGCAAGATTGGGCGAGGTATAATGGTATTTGTAGCTGTTGTCGAAAGTGCTATCCGCTGTTAACTATTGAAGAAAGAAAAAATATCTTCCAAAATTTTTACAACTTATGCAATTTTAATTTACAAATTGCTTACATAAGGCGCAAGTAAATACTGTGAATAAAGGACGCGATACAGCAGCTTAGAATCTTAATAAACGTTCTAAGACCCAAATATATACATTACCAAAAGAATCAGATGATATGGTAACTGTCTGCAAATCATTTTTTAAGATCTGTTTAAAGAGTTTCGGATGGAAGACTTACCAGAGCCTTGATAAATAAGACAAAGGGTGGCGAATTTACTACTCCGCCGCTAAGAGGAGAAAGCACCCTCCTAATGGTTTTAAAAAAAGAACACAGGTTCCTCTAATTAAAACTGAAGCCTTTTATTTGGACATCCTTTATCCTACTGGAAGACCGAAAGAAAGATCTTCAAAGTCTCCTTCCATATATTCCGCCAGTGTGTCACGATTTCTACACCAGTTTAAAGACAAACGAACAAGCAGAAGATGATGATATTGGACCAGAAACAGATGAATAGGAGACCCAAGTGGACAGTTTGTTTTTTTTTTTTTGTTAAAGTTTTGAATTTGGCAGAGTGGCCCAACTAACTTTTTTTTTTTTAAGTAACAATTGATTTGATATGTTTTTCTTATCATTAGACTTATAAAATGTATACGTTTCTGACCATATGTTTACTTATAAATAAAATGGAACTTTAAAACAGAAAAACTGGTTTTAATTTATGCTCAATTTTTTATTTGCCTTTATCTCAAAACTTTAATGTTGCACTTAGACCACTATGCTTCTGAGCGACTCATATATATCTTGATTAATAAGCTCATAAATTAGAACGCTCCTGTGATTTGCTAAAGATAAAGTAATTAGTATCGAGAAAATAATTCCTATCGACTACAATAATTCCGTATCAGTTCAAAATATAATTCTATTACCCGGGGATAAAGTGATTCCCAATTCCATGGGGATTCGTTTGGAGCAGCGTGCTCTAAAATGTATTCAATTTTCATATTTATTTCCTTTTGTCTAAGAGGATGACTTCCAAGATTAATAAGTCGATGAAAAGGAAGGTAAAAATTCAATTTTAAATCTGTTAGAGGTAAAATAAAATATGAAATATTGAATACTTTTTTGTTCATAGTAAAGGAATTGATATAAACAATCAATTTAATGAAATTGGTATGTATCGGGTGTATAAATAAGGAAGGACGCCGGCCATATCTGAGGATCTCTTTATCCCATATAAATAATATTAACTAAGGGCGAGTTTTTAACCATTTTAACCAAAGGAAGCTTCTATTCAAAGTAACTTTAAAGTTATTTCATTATGGTTTTAATAACGTAGTTTTGCTAAAATATGCCTCGACAAAACATTTCATGTTGTTATTGCATCTGTTTACTTTTAACATTTACCGAATATTATCCTCAAAAATGTAAGGTAAAGTTAAAAAAATATTTTAAATTATAAATATTTATCTTGCATGTATATTATAAGATAAACAAGATGAAAAATAACTATTGACCAAACATATCTTGTGAAAGAAGAATTTTTTTTTGTTTTTTAGTAATAATTTTAAAACCTATTCATAAATTGTGATCCAAATTGGCACAGAGGCATAACTTTATGGAAGGAATAATATTTAATTTAATATTCTACATTTTGATACAGGGTCATACTTTTTCTGACGATATTTTTTAGTAATCTGAACCTAAAACATGTTTTACCAGGCGCTTGATTAAGATTTCTGTCACATGTGAGATTGAATTTTATTATTTTCTTTCTTATACGGCTGTACTGTCGAAAAATAATTAATATACCGGGTGTTCAAATTAAAGTGTTACAGTTAAATATCGCCGAAAATATGCATTTTAGAAAAAAAGTTTCAGACAAAAGTTTTATAGTTTTTGGGGGAAACATTTTGGCTAAAATCATTTTTTTATAGCTAACGAGGTGGACTTTGTTTTTTTAAATTGGAACACCATTTTTTGTTTACATATTCTTAAAGTACATAAAAAAATAAGAAACTTTTGCGGGAAATATTTTTTTTATTGGACTTTTACTTTTTGAGTAACAGCTACTTGAAAATTTTGCTGGGCGAAAAAAAAATTGTCCATATTATAGTTAGCTATAAAAAACGATTTAAGCAAAAATTTTTCCCCACAAAACTATAAAACTTTCGTCTGAAACGTTTTATTTATAAGAGGCGTTATTTAGCTGTAACACTTTAATTTGAACACCCGGTGTATATATATTTTTTTTTTGCCAATGCCTAACTCTGATAGCGCGTCACTGATTAAAATTTTTCAAAAATTAATTTATGTTAAATATTATTACTTTTTTAACGACCATATAGATCACCTAATTTGAAAAAAATATTTAAAGGCGTTATTGATGTATGATATTTTTTTCAACTAGTTCTGATTAATTATTTTATTTTTAAAAATAAACTTTAATGACCAAATTTTGGTCGTATGTACTAACTACTACTTTTAGACTATAAACTGAAAAATTTTAAATATTTACCCAGAATTGATTCCTGTTTGAAAACGTCTTTACCAAACGAATATCTGGCATTCCTGTTGGAAATCATTGAAATCCTAGTTATCAAGGTATTTAGACAGACCTTGCATTACGTCATAGATACCAATACAAATATGTTTCTAATTAACAGTGTACCTTATATATACAGAGCATCAATACATATATCCGAAAATCAGTACCACAAAAATGTTTTATTTTTCCAAAAATAAATGTTTTCGAATATTTTTCGGAACTTGACATCGATTTTTCACTATAGAAATTTTTAATTAATATACAAAGTGTCCCTTACTTGGTGCAACAAGTTTCAAGGGAAGATGGTACTCCTAAAAAAATACCTGCAAACATTCCATCTGAAATACATCGTTTTTGTGAGTTTAAAAAAATCGAATATCACCGATAATTTTGACGCACAAAGATTAGGTTTGGTACAAACAGTATTCTTATAAAAAAATACTTTTTTCAACTACCTAATTATTGGCTTTGCATTAAGCAGTGGTGGAGATTTTAGGATTGACAAGAGTTTTTGTCTCTATATAATTTCCACGCTAATGGAAAGAAATTGTTCTAAGTTCTAAAAACATTTTCAAAGTCTTAGGAGTTTTTACACAAAAAATTATATTGATATTTTTTTCAAAACAAACAGATTTCGAGGAAAAAATACGCTTTTGGGTAAAAACATGGAAATTGGGCAAAAAGTTACAATATCAACAATTTTAGTAAGTTCTTCTGCATCAATAAAAGAACGTAGTATTTTGTTTTGTTATTACTAAGTTTGTTGCACCAATTGAGGTTTTTTTGCATATTTTGTATGTTTTCCTCTTTATTATAATAAAGAAAAAAATAGGTTTCAACATTTTTAACAAGATCTATTATTTCAGGTGCGTTTTTGGTTCCTTACTGCATTATGCTGGTCATTGGAGGTATACCACTATTTTATATGGAATTAGCTTTAGGACAGTTCAACAGAAAAGGCGCCATTACGTGCTGGGGCAGGCTATGTCCATTACTTAAAGGTAAGTAATCCAAATACAAGAAACTATCAAGTTATATTATTGATAAATAACATCTTAACATGTTTTTTAATTAAAATATCAGGTATGCAACTATGAAATAATATCGAAATCCATTTTTTTTGTGTAAATTATAAGTTAGGTCACTTATTTATGTATTATTTTTTAATGGATTAGTATCCACTATAACTGAAATTAGAATTGGACATTAAGGTACTGTACTGCAGGCTTTAATTTTCCCTTAAATTGTCAACTTTTTCCTATTTAGAATATAGGAATGTTGGCAGTTGGCATAAGTAAGACAGGTTAGAGAATGTATGAATTTGTAAGTCAAAGTGTGAACTAAATTGAATATACTTTTACTCAAAACTATTAAACATGATTAAAAGGAATTTGGGTTAATAATGAAGAAATTTCCCCATGAATCCAGGTTGGTTCTATTCTGTTTTTTTCTGTAACGTAACTGAATTGTAAGTCAAATAGTTCGTCGTGTAAATGAACATTCCAAAAACAATGGAGGCGGGAATGTATTTATAAGATTTACCAAGTCGGAATCAGTGACTGTGTCATTACCAAGAAAATCCCAACTTTAGCTTCAGCCTCAGCCGCAGACGTAGTTGTAGTCGTTAGTCAATTATCCACTTTCGCTAATCCACGGAAACGTTGAACGGAAACAGCTGCTAAAATGCATTGTGAGTGCCTCTTTACACCACAAAAGACACTTCGTGCTCTACTGGGGGCAATTTTACGAATTTTATTCCTTGTACTATCCGTCTCCTTTATTTCGATTTCGGTTAGATCATTAACGTACCAATAAACCGAGATTTTTCTTAAAACTTTTATGTATAAGATGTCAGTCAAATAGTTTATGTGTATGTATAAATACTATTCCTTGCGAGTTAAATACTATACTTTTTCTATGGTTATAACACGCCGCTTCCCATTTTTAATTAGATTCTATAATAATTAATTAAGTTACTATATTTTTAAAAGTAGAATGCAAGACAAGTAAAAAGCGGGACGAAATAGTTTTAAATCGGACAAAATCGGGAAAAAATCGGGACACATGTTGAATCGGGACTAGTGGTTTAAAATCGGGACTCTCCTGCCTACATCAGGACGGATGATCAGTTTACTGTATAATCTATAAAATTAAAATGACAGCTCTCCCATTTTTCGGCATATACGCTCTCAGTAGCCTCTTTAAAGATAAATATAACGTTCGCCATCTTAAAAGTTATGTTCCTTTGCGTAACTTTTCCCAAATATCATCATAAATAAGCTCAATTATAACGTTTTCAAGATATTCATTATTTGTTAATGGTTTTGTAAATTGTAGGTTCATAAATAATATCTTTGGGGACTGACTATGAAGACTAGAAATAAGGAGGCGAATCGGCCTTGGTCAAATTTCAAATTTCCGTCCCTATTTTTATGAAGTTCCAAAAAACTACTGTAGTTGGCGGGTGGCAAAATAACGACGTCTATTTTCTATACAAGCGAAGGCTATTTAATAAAGCCAAGTCAACCGAAGACTGGGCCCTATACAAGGCTAAACTCACGCAGTACAACAAGGAGATAAGAAAGGCTAAAAGGCAATCGTGGAGGAAGTTCTGTGAGGAGTTATCTGAAACACCCACATGCTCTAGAATCCACAAAGTCTTAGCTAAAGAGGGTGCTGCAAACCAAGTAGGATTTCTCAGGAAAGATGACGAAACCTATACGAAAACCTTCGAGGAAACGTTAACAATGCTCACAGAAGTACACTTTCCGGCCGCAGAAATTTTGCTAGACCCGATAGTAGCATATAGCCCTCAAAGAAGGTCTCGTAGGCCAACTCCTTTGGAATGGAGGCTAGCTACAGAAATATCGAGGCCGAACAAAATTAGATGGGCTACAAACAAATTTCAATCATACAAATCCCCAGGAGTAGATGGAATATATCCCATTCTACTACAAAAGGGACAGGAAATTCTAATTCCACATATGTGTCGCATATTTAAAGCATGTATAGCCTGGCGACACATACCAAAGGCGTGGCAAAAGGTGAAAGTCATATACCTCCCTAAAGTAGGAAGGTTTAATGACATGACGCCAAAGTCGTACCGCCCAATCAGTCTATCTTCATTCATGCTGAAAACGCTAGAAAGACTAATAGATAGATATATACGAGACGAACTACTGAGAGAAAATCCTCTCAGCGACCGTCAATATGCATATCAGCCAGGAAAGTCAACCGATTTGGCCCTGAATGATCTTAACAGGCTATTGTCAAAATCCCTCGAGGATAAAGAAATGGCAGTAGCAACTTTCGTAGATATTGAGGGAGCTTTTAGTAATGCTCAAACAAGATCTATAATTAACGCATTAGCAATAAAAGGGGTACCAGTAGTCCTATGTCAGTGGATAAAAGCCAGCCTAGAAGAAAGGGTAATAACATCATCTCTAGGCGAAGCTACATTGACAGCTAAAGCAGGCAGGGGCTGCCCCCAGGGAGGAGTACTATCACCCCTTCTCTGGTCAGTCCTAGTGGATGAACTTATAAAAAGGCTAATATCTGCAGATTTTTACTGCCTAGGGTATGCCGATGACCTGGCGATCGTCGTAAGAGGCAAGTTCGCAGGTACAATATCGGAGCGCACACAAACCGCTCTAAACATTGTCGACGAGTGGTGCAGAGAGGAGGAACTAACAGTAAACCCTCACAAAACCACAATAGTCAACTTTACAAAACGAAAAGTACCAACAGGACTAAAGTCACCAGTACTGAAAGGAGTGAAGATTCCATTCGCTCAAGAGGCCAAATACTTGGGAGTCATCTTTGACCACAGGTTAACATGGAATCAACACTTGCAAAAAGTCACCCAAAAGAGCACAACGTCCTTCAACTTATGTCGAAGGTTGTGTGGAAAAAATTGGGGATTACAACCAAAAATGTCCCTGTGGTTATATACCAGAGTCATAAGGCCGATGATAACCTACGGGTCGGTGGTATGGTGGCCAAAGACTAGGCAAGCTGGAGCCATTCGACAGCTCAATGGTATTCAAAGGCAAGCATGCCTGAGTACCACGGGAGCTATGAGAACGACTCCAACAGCAGCTATAGAAGTCATGCTAAACCTAACACCACTACATATATTCATTCAAGGCGAAGCCAGGTCTGTCACATACAGACTGCACAAAGGTTCATCGCCCATAAGCAGTTTGCATGGACGCGACTACAGCGAGCTATATAAAGAGTTGGAGAACGACCAAATAATGGGAATGCCTTCAGACGAAATGCTTCCAAAGTATAGCTTTCAAAAGCAATATAAAGTAAGTATACCAGACAGGGAAGCGTGGACGGGAGGACCTCCTATTCATGCAGATCTCACCTGGTATACAGACGGCTCCAAAACCCATGAAGGTTCAGGAGTAGGTATATATAGTACCAAGCCAAAGACAGGAATCTCACTGAGCTTAGGTAAACATGCGACAGTATTCCAGGCAGAAATAGCAGCAATACATCACTGCGCAAAAGAAGTATTAAGACAGAAGGTAAATGGGAAAACCATTGTCATATACTCAGACAGTCAAGCGACGTTAAAAGCACTCAGTTCCATGCAGGTACACTCAAAGCTTGTGTGGGACTGTTTGGAAGCCCTAACAGAGCTGGGTAGTCAAAACAGACTAACCTTAGCGTGGGTACCAGGCCACAGGGGACACAAAGGCAATAAAGAGGCTGATTTACTAGCCCGAGAAGGAGCATCAAATGCTCTTATTGGCCCAGAACCCTTCTGTGGTGTAACAAAAACAACTATCAGAACATGCACAAAGCAGTGGATGTTTAAAAAATCTCAGGAGTGGTGGGAAAACTCACCAGGACAGAGACAGGCCAAAAAGTTCTTAAAAGGACCATCGTCTAAACTCACCGAGCATCTACTAAGCCTTAATAGGAAAAATACTAGAATACTAGTAGGTCTATTAACAGGGCATTGTAGGCTTAACAAACATATGTTCAATATCGGTCTGACAGAAGAGGCCTTGTGCCGATTCTGTCAAGAAGAAGAGGAAACGGCAGAACACGTATTGTGCTACTGCGAAGGTCTAGTAAGACTGAGATTCCTTACACTTGGAGAAGAAAAACCAAGGGCAACTAGCTATACCGGAGAACTACTTTCCAGTCTATGGAGTTTACTACAAAAGACCGCATTAGACAAGGTACTCTAAACAATGATTAAAGGATATCCACAATAGATCTGAAAAGGTCGAGGTGGGGGAGGCCACATGGCCCATAGTCCTAATTAAATCTAATCTAATCTATACAAGTCAATGGGAATTAAAGTGATTTTTTGTAAAATTTACTGAAAAGAATAAAAATAAGCTGAAATAAAAGAACCTGACTACAAGTAACAATGAGTAACAAAAAACGGCAAAGCAGGATTTGCTTCGTTCCGGGTTGAAAAACGGGATATAAATTCGATAAAAAATTAAAGAAAACACAAGTCTTTTTAAATCTCCTAGTGTAAGTAAAATAATGTTTTTATTTCTAAATAATATATATTTATTGTAAAATAGTTACAACCCGTATCTTATGGAGTGTAGTTTATTTAATTACAAAATTCTATAATAAAAAATAATAAAGTCATAAATCCTGACGTACAAACGACAATAATTTCACATTAAATTTAACTTACTAGAAAAGAAAATTTGCTTTTTTATTTTTTTTGATGTTAGATGAAGATTTACTACTGTTATTTTTCTTTATTGAACTTCATTGCAAATATTTTTTATAGGATCCTAAATGTTTAGAACAATGGCAGCATTTGATTCCTAGGGCTGATAAAGTACTGTCTAGTTATGATTCTGTTTGCGAGCTACACTTTTTAGAAGATGATATTTTAAAATTTGATGAGACTATTTTAACTAACGGTACTGTTAACAAAATAAAAAGGGAAAAGCCGAGATTAAAGAACGAAGCATTACCATGTATATTCCCGAATTTCCCTTCATACTTGTCCAGT